TGTCGTTCTCTAAAAGTATGTTCGTCTTTGATGACTTTGTTCGTAGCTTCTAATTGATTGTTAGTGCTTGGTGTGAACGCACCATTATATCCTTCATACCACGAATTAAGAACTGTTAACCATTCGTTTTCGAAATATTCTGTAAATTCTTTTTCTGTTTTATTCCATTGCTTCAAGAATAAGGATGATGCATTCCGAAACACAGTTTCTGATTCGCATAATTGTAATGTCTCAATATCATCTAATATTTCTTTTGTTTTCTTCGAATCGATTTTCAAGCTCTTCAATTTTTTCTCAACATTGCGACGCATATGAGACCAACACATGACCATTTTATCCTTATTGAAAAACTTTTGAAATGCATTACGTATAGCACCAGACCCATCAGCTATAAGTACTTCGGGTGTAAAGGCTGATCCAGTTATTCGGTTTACACCGTCGGAAATACTTTTAAAAATAAATTCGAATTCTGGTTCTTTTTCATCAGTACATACAGCCAATCCAAATGGATGAAATTTACGATCGCAATCACTTGTTCCAACAACTAATACTGGAAAACCCTGCCAGTTCAATTTGTACGTGGCATCAGCATGTAACTTGGTTGATATTGAAGCAATTTGGAGTAATCGTTTTGAAGAGAGAAAAAATCTGAACTTATTACCATCATCGACGACGTCTTCATCATCGTCGTCACTATCATCTTCGTAATGAATATGAAAAGAAACTACAAATGATTCATCGTCAGATTGTGGTACTGTATGTTTCTCTTGACACCAAGATTCTAATTCTCCTAAACTTAAGCTAGAAGGACCAAATTTTTGTTTACGTAATTGTGTTAAATAATTGTTCACTTGATTACGTGTTATCTTGAAATTTTTCTCTTCCAATACTTCATATATTTTCTTTGGCTTTAATCTCATATCAAACAGTTCCTGGATATTTTGTTTCATTTCTTCAGAGAAGAAATAACGTTTACTTGAATCAGTATGGTTATGCTCATTATTTGCACGAAATAATATAACTTCATCACTATTGTGCGGATAAAAGAGATAAATTGCGGCATTACATTGTGTGCCACGAAACTTAACTTTATTACAGCGGTAATGAACTTTAACTCCATCTTGAACTTTGTTAGTAAAATATCGACTCCATTGTTCTTCTCGTTTAATTGCTATTTGAGCGTCTGTATCATTAGAAAAGCATTTGTCTCTTATCCAGTCAACGTTACGTTCAATTTTTGTCTTTTCTTGCACATTCTGCTGATCCATCGTATCGTCGGATTCCGATGAACTCTCATACTGTTGTGTTTGTACAAAATTTGGCATTGTAATATGTTTAAACTAAACTTCAATCGGCAGATATATATATATATACAGGCGATTAAAGAAGAAGAATTTTCTGGAAAATAGTGGAGATCATATGTGATCGTCACAGGAAGAAAGAGAAAAATATACTTGAACATACTAGAAGTTGATGTTTACATCAAATCAGTCCTAACAGAACGAAAGAGAGAAAATGTACGACCTACACCCAGGCTGACAATCGTTTTCTTGTCATAGTCACTTTTACTTAGCAATATTTTTTCTTTATCCATATAATTTATTTTCTAACTTATCAATCTCATTTATCAACTGAGTAATTAAATATTTTACTTAGATATTAATTGTTTAACTTAGCAAAAATTTTAGTCACCGAGAAATATTATTTCCACCAAGCATTTAATAAATTCACTGAGCATCTAATTTTTCTACTGAGTATCTATATATTTTACTTAGCAATAATCTACTTAGCATTTATATTTTTCTACTTAGCACTTAAATAGGTGCCATAATCATATGCTTCCTTTTTTTATAAAACACAATCTGAAAGAACTGCTGAAAAATATAAACAAAAATTGTTATAATAATGGGTGGGTCATAATGAATTGTACTAAATGTTTTTATTTATTTTTTCGTTCATCTCGTTTTGCTAAAAATATTCATTTAGACATTAAAAAGAATGCAAATCTGTTCAGTCAGTTAACTGTGGTTTGTGATTTTCGACTGACATTTAATAATTTTTAAAACCTTTTCCGACAAAATCATGTACTTATTATAGTGAGCAATGACAAATGTAGGCTATTTTAAGACTTAAAAAGAAAGTATGACGTAGATTCATCAGAAACACAGCTTTTTCTCTGTTTTCGTATGTTTTTCTTAGAAACTGTTTTTTTTTCACAAATCGGGAAAGAATAAAATCTTAACCTGTATAAACTTTAATAGGAGCAATATTA